CGGCGCCTGCTCTGGGACACCGTGGCAAGGGCCCGCGAGTCTGGAAAGGCCATCGTCATCACCTCCCACAGGTAAAGCCAGGACCGGGGCTGTAGGAGGGGTGGGCCGGGAGGGGCTGGGTGGACAGAAGACCTGTCAGCATCTGGTGAAGAGTCTGAGGAGAATCCCTAGGCTCTACCATGTGGGCCACATCCTGAGCATGGGAATCAGGAACAGCCTGATCTGGGCATCAGTACTTTCCCATGTGCACAGCTTTTGATGTGGAGGGTGGGCATCAGCATTCCCCAGTGCTATATCAGGCCTACACTCCCTCTCCTCAGCATGGAGGAGTGTGAGGCCTTGTGCACCCGGCTGGCCATCATGGTGCAGGGTCAGTTCAAGTGCCTGGGCAGCCCACAGCACCTCAAGAGCAAGTTTGGCAGTGGCTACTCCCTACGGGCCAAGATCCGGAGTGACAGGCAGCAGGAGGCCCTGGAAGAGTTCAAGGCATTCGTGGACCTGACCTTCCCAGGTGTGTGCTGCTGTGCAGAGGTCATCTGTGCGTCTGTCCATCCCTGAGCCCTGGGACGAGGGCTACGATTCCAGGGGCCTGGGCTGCCCTCCCCTGGCCAGCCAGCCCAGCCCTCAGGGGGACACTGTGCAGGCAGCATCCTGGAAGATGAGCACCAAGGGATGGTCCATTACTACCTGCCTGGCAATGACCTCAGCTGGGTGAAGGTAAGCACATACCTGGGCATCAGAGGGAGCACACCTCTGATGTCACCCACTTTCTGGTGTTCTCTTTTTCGGGTGGAAGTCTTATTCAGTGCTGCTGCAACATTCACGTGGATTTCATAGAAAATAAGAATGTTTGAGTTGGAAGGGACCTCGGATATCAGCTCCCCCCACCCCCTCATTTCACAGAGAGGTGAGTGGACCCAGAGAGGGGACACCATATGCCCAGGGTCACACATCAATCCAGGGACCCAGCTGGGGCCTCTGCCTTCTGACACCACTCGCAGCCAGGGTCCCTTTCCCTAAAATCACAGAGAGCTCAATTCTGTAGGACTGACTTCTTGAGAGGTGGTCTGGGACAGCTGAGAGAGGGATGGGCCTTTGGGGGGCTTTGTAACAACCCCAAAGACCCTTCCTCTTTCCAGCCCCTGTTGCCTCCTTTCCCACAGGTGTTTGGCATTTTGGAGCAAGCCAAGAAAAAGTACATGTTGGAAGACTACTCAGTCAACCAGATCTCTCTGGAGGACATCTTCCTGAACTTCACCTGCCCTGTGCCCCCCAAGCAAGGGGAAAACAAACAAGCGAAGGCAGAACCAGCAGGCCCCTTGTTACCCTTTCCACCTCCCTCTCCACCTTCTTCCCAGCCTCCCTCCCTGCCTCCCTCCCAACCTCCCTCCCAGCCTCCCTCTCCACCTCTCACTCCACCTCCCACTCCATCTTCCTCCCAGCCTTTCTCCCAGATTTCCTCCCAGCATCCCTCCTGGCCTCCCACTCCACCTCCCTTCAGGTCTTCCTCTTGGCCTCCCTCCCAGCCTCCCTCACCACTTCCCTCAAAGGCTGTCTTGCTGTAATAAAGAGTTCCCAGTGCCAGGTTAGCCCAGGTGCACACAGCCTGCCATGGGCTGCAAGGGTTACAGAGGCAACTTGAGGACCCAGTGAGCTCAGCTTGAGGGTGGAGGGGTGGGGGCAGCTCTCTGCCAGATTGAGGCCACTCACCTTAGAGGCCTGATGGAGGACCCAGGTGCATTTCTGTGGAAAATGATCCCCTCGAGTCCCACCTGGGTGGCCTTCAGCCTCACTGAGACCTGGCCATAGAAGCAGCCTCAGAGGAACAACACCTGCCATGTCCTGTCAGGAGTATGGAGGCCTGGGGGTGACCATGGTTGTAATGATGCCATACTTCTGAATGTAGGAGGAGAGAAGAGATTGACAAGTTTGCAAACTTAAAGCACCATTTTTCAATATTTGGATTTGTGGGGCTCCATTTGTTCTCTTCCCTGGCCCACGCGAATGTTAGGGGTGAGCCTGTATGTGGCCCTCTGTCAACCCATGATGTGGACATGATTATTATCCCATTGCCCAGAAGAGTAAGCTGAGACTTAGAGATATCCGGCAACTTTCCATGGTCAACAGATGGTAGAGCCAGGATTCAACTCAGGCAGAAGTTCTCAAAGTGGAGTCTCTGACCAGAAGCATCCACATCATCCAGAAACTTGTTAGAAATGCAGATTCTTAGGCCCCACTCCAAACCCACTGAATCAGAAGTCTGGGGGGTGAGGACCAGCAATCTGTGTTAACAGGTGCTTCTGCAGCTCAGGCGTGAGAAGAACTAAGCTAAGCCTGTGAGCTCAGACCATCCGGCCTGAGTGCAGATGGATGTGGCCGTGTACCTTTGTCATGAGGGCTCTCCTCCGAGAAGTGCCCTGCCCAATAGCCTTTCTCCCTGCAGCGTGGTCACACCTGCCCCTCTACAGAGCCCCATTAGGCTTCTCCTTTGCAGGTAGTTCTCTCCCTCCCTTCTCAACTCAGCTCTGGGAAAGTGGTGCCTACCATCCCTGCCCGCACTTCCTACCTCCCCTCACCACTCACCAAAAGTACAGTGTTGTCACATGCCTGGCTGCCACACCCACTCCGTCCATTTTTCCTGTGACTTCTCTGAGGCATCTCAGTGTCCCCTGCCCCCTTCTCCCCACTGCACCAGGCCCCCCATGGCCCCTCATCTGCCTCCTCTGTAGGCTCCTCTTCCTTTCTCTCTGAGTGGGGGATACCTCAGGCTCCCAGCCTGCTTCACTTTTCCTTACTCTCCCCTCTGCACCCTGCCACCCTTGAGTTTCTTTCTCATTCACCCCCAGGCCTTCAACTGCCATCTTATTCCAGTCAGGAACTTGCCTGAGCTCCCAAAAATCTCCTCTTCCAGTGAGTTCTCTCACCTTCCTGAAGTCCAATGGGAAATGGGCTCATCACCCCTCTGGGCCCAGGGGCTCTTACTGCCAGGGCAGTGGGTGGGGGTGACAGATGGCATGGCTGCAGCAGAGCCAAGAGAAGAACGCCTATTTCCTGATAAACAAGAAAACTTTACCTCTGAATAAATAAAAAGAGTGTTAAGGACATAGGAGCAAGATAGAGGACAACTGAGAGACTGGTCAGGGTGCTGCTTGGACTCCACAGACACGCAGCGTCACAGGGGAGCGAGAGCGTGACTTACTCACTCACTGGTGAAGCCAATGCCACCAAAATCTAACACAGAGAGTGCACCTCTGCCCTGGGGAGACCAGCAACAAAGAAAGTAACAGTGCAGGGGGAGGGCAACAAAGTACCAAATTGGGAAACAGTAACCAATGGAAACAAAGGTGAGGTGAAGAAGGCTGAAAACCCTTAGGGGTCCTGTGGATTCTCCTGTCCTCTGGTGTGGGAACGTGGGGCATCTGGGGAGCAAGTTCCAAGCTTGCTCTGCTCTACCCACTCCTCTTCCCAGGCACATCACCCCTGCCCCACCTCCACCCCCAGCTTCCAAGGCCTCATATCCCATGCTGTGATCATCCGTTTGTCTCCTGCTCCAGACTGGCATTGAGCCTTGGCACTATGGCTCCTCTGTGTGTTCGGCTGCTGAGCACAGACCAAGTAACCTGAAGGGGTTCAGCGAGTATAAGTGGTAGCGGGACAGAGTGCTGTCTGAGGCTGTAGG